GGAATCCGGATTCCCGCGGAATCCGCCGAATTTTTGCATGAGGAACTGTACGGAATTGGGGAAAATTTTGCTCGATGAATCCGCAATCCTGAGCTTTGGGATACAGAATACAGCTCAAGGAATCCGGAATCCTACTTACGATCAGAATCAAGAGAGAATCATTCGCTCTTGTTGGAATCCAGAATCCAAGTTACACTGACAAAGACTGGAATTCAATACTTAGAATCCGGAATCCACGGCTTGGAATCCAGATTCCAAAACTGCCTTGGATTGCCTTACTTGCGACGAAAGAAATCAGTGGGCAGAGAAAGATTACGACGCTAGTCGGAGGAGGTGGTTTACATGTACAGGACGCTTAGGGGGCTAGCAATGGTAAGGACTAACTATGAAGTACTTAATTCAATTTTTGCAGTTTTCTTGCGATTTAGTTCATGCATAATAGGCGTTTTCGTATCGGAAAATTCGAGACAATAACACAACTGATGCCTAAAATAAAACAGAAAATGAAAGTTTCTTACATCTAAACCATGCCATTGAATGTGAGCTTCAGCCAGCCTGCAATTCTGGTCCTCATTTGACAGATGTTTCTTATGTTCATCATGATCTTGATCATTCTGATCTCCTTCTTCGTGTTCTTCTTCGTGTTTATTTTCATAAACCAAATTCCGACCATCTTCTGTTTTTGTTGGTGTCGTTATTTGTACCCCGATATTTGGTGCTTCATCATGCACTTTTACAACCATGAAAGGGAAGTTTGCCTTAGTGTTGCACTCAAACAGCCAAATCTGGTCCACACTTCCATTTTCAAGGCTCTCTAAAAGATCCTTTTCTGTGGAATATTCTACATAGAGTGAAAATGCACAAACGAAAAAAGCACATTCAAACAAGGTAAGAAAATAAAGGATTGCAGAATGTGTTTCTGCTAGTTATACTTTTTTCTTTATAATAAATATACGATGTTTTTGTCATAATCAGGAGGAAGGTATCTCTAAGGAAATCGGTGATACAGTCCTCGTGCCAGTATATAACGTCACGTCTCGCGTCATTGACTTTCAAAATGGCGAGCAGAGAATTTCTCAGAGATATTTTGTCCCAATTTCATATATTTAGCGTTTGTAAGATCCCTATATTGTCATAAAAAAACCAGTGTAATTGGATGAAACGTCCTATGGTGTAATGAATTTTAATGAATTTTAAATATTCTTTTCTATCGTCGAGCAAGATTGAGGGTACTAGAGGCTTTATCTGTACGTATTTTTAGCTGCTCAGAGCCAATGGATCCCCATATCAATCCCTTTAAGTTTGCATCGAGCACCAAACCTTATATTACCATACACAAAATTTGGCAATTAGCTACAGCACATTGTTTTTCTTTTTGACAATGAGATACCGTACCCTGTCACACCCGACATCTTCCAGTAAGAATAAATTCAAAAAACACTCTGTACTGTCGCAATTTTTAATAATCATCGCACTTTGTAATACTTGTCGCAATTTGTAATAAATTCATCGCACTTTGTAATAACTGTCGCAATTTGTAATAAACCATGTCGCACTTTGTAATAAACTAACTTGTCGCAATTTGTAATAATTCCATCGCACTTTGTCAGGAGCCGGCTTTTGACTTTGTAATAGTTTTTTGAGAGTGATTCGACTTACTTCGTCAATTAAAATATAATGCCAAAATACGAATGGCACTTGATGACGTCTGCAAGCACGTTACTTACAAAATTACTTTTATAATTTATATCTCCGCTTATTCAAACCATTTAACTTTATTTACGGTCCTAAACATTTTTTTAAAAAATTAATGTTGACTAGTCATCTGACGTACGAAATTCTGTATTCTTAAACCTTGCTATTGTACTAGATAGTTTGCATGCAATGGTTACCTGGGGGCGTACTCCCTTATATCGCCAATAGGGGGATGTACCGCTGGACAGAGCGTTGTCAGAGTACAGAATCTTGACACACTAGACACAAATGAGCCATTATTAAAAGGTATTTAATTTCCACAAATCGTCACATTCATCCTTACATCATTCAAATAAGGACACCGGGAATGGTTTCCTTTTTAGATCTTATAACAGGTCGACACAGCACCGTCCTTGTCTAACGCGCAATCTTAAAAGAAGTAATAGTGGCTTCTATATTTTGGCCAACTTAATTAGACGAGGCCTGTAAAAATTCAAAACGTAATTTACTGCAAAGAAACAAAAACGTCACCAGTGGAAAACCGTCGAACCAAAACAGAAACATAAACTCAAAATCCAATTATAATTAGTCGCTGGCCAATACCTTTGTATGTACCTGTTTTTATAAAACTCACTTGGGTTGATACACTGAGCCGGCTGACCATTTGGTCTCTCTTGATTTGGTCCCATATAGGAGCAAAAGGAGTATCATTCCATCTTAAAACAATTTTTTTCTATGGAGCCCTCTAAAGCAAATACCGTAGGAAGTGTAAAAAATTCTCCTTCCCTGCGAACAACTTGTAAGACCTTGAAAATTCTTCCGAGCGTGTTCAGGATTTTTTTTTCCACAAAATGAAAAGGATAATAAACCATACCTTCCATTACTACTTGAGTTACCCTATCTAAGGATCAAACCAAAGACACAAAGCCAACAAGGTAAAAAATGATACCTTATTTAAGGTTCGAGATCCTCAGCGGTATTTACCTACCTAGCCCATACATGTATATGGGATTATCCCCCCCCCGCTCCCCCATCCCGAAGACTTCACGTGTCACGTGGCAAGCAAACATGGATTGGGACGATGAAAGCCAGGTTATTCATGAATTTTCTGTTGTTAAATGTTGCATTGTTATTTAAATATTTTGAATTCAAATATGTGAAATGATTCATTATCTTTTTTTGGTGACATGTCACAGGAAGTTTCATGTCTTTCCTAAAAGCGATTCCCGTTGGTCACGTGATTAATTAAGGCAGAAACATTTATCACGGAAGACATGGATGTTTGACCAAAGAAAATAATTTACGTTTATAACAAAGTGCTATGGAATTATTACAAATTGCGACAGGTTAGTTTATTACAAAGTGCGATGGACAGTTATTACAAATTGCGACAGCTTTTTTATTACAAAGTGCGACAAGGTTTATTACAAGTTGCGACAGGTATTACAAAGTGTGATGATTATTACAAATTGCGACATTAAACTCCTCCACAAATGAGTTTGTGTAATCAAATGGTGACGAGTGAAATTAGGGAATAATTTCACGCGCGTTTTGTCCAAATCCTTATAATTTTCTTTAGGCGAGGGAAATTATTAGGATTTGGACAAAACGCAAGGGAAATTATTCCCTAATTTCACGAGTATACCATTTGATAACCTATTAATATCATGGGTGATGAATTACCTTAGCAATCGAGTTTGCAAGTGAAAGTGTTGGACTCTGCCCCTTTCTTACGTGAAGGAATTCGAGTTATCACACATTATTATTCAGTCAAAATATTTCCTCGATTCTGATTGGCTAAAAACACACGCGTAATTCGCCATAACCAGCTACTGATGACCAAATTTGGAAGAATTTTGCGATTAATGAACGTCAAAAGTGCAGCTTTCTCTCAGGTTAATGCACCGTAAACCGAGAAGACCTGGGGACGAGGTTAAGTTGTTTTAGTTGTGAACTTGAAAAATGAAGAACTAGGCGAAATAATAGTAAGAAACATGGCAAGAACAGCAAGAAGACAACTCGAAAGGCGACATCTGCTATTTGGAGAATATTTGCAAAGCTCAACAACCCTAAACGTGCACTATCGAAGATGAACTCAACATCGATGGAGGTAAACAAATTTTAGCTATGTTTTTAAACTAGGGATTATTTTGAATGAATTATAAGACAAGTATTGAATTGGGCTTTCGTATCTTATAAAGAACTCTGGAGATCTCGGAGGGTGTTATCCTTCGAGGCCGTACGATCTCCATAATTCTTCATAAGATACTCAGCCTCATTCATCAATTGTTAAGTAATCTAGTAAGCAGGATTATAAAATAACTCATGCACACAATTTGCACGTGAAGATGTTGGACTTTGTCTCTTTTACGATTCGTAAGTAAAAGAACGCAAATTGTTAACTAGAAAATTTGCTCAAACGATTTTAAGAAATCACCTCGGCTTTACAACATCTGCGATTAAATGATGCTTCATGTAATTTAAGGTTGATAGCCAAACATTTATTTACTTCCAAGAAAATTATCAAACAGGCGAAATATATTTCTACTCATCTCGTGTTATTCCGCTCAATTGAACAATATCTAATCATTTTGTCAACTAGCTTCTTCCAATTTTATTCGCTAACGCTAATTGTTTCTACTTAAGTCAAAAATACGTTTCAATAACTTTATTTCAGGGTCGTAACATGGTATATGGGCTCAGGGCTCAAAGCCCAAAATATGACTGGGATCAGGGCTCAGAGGAAAGGGCTCAGGGCTCAGAAGAATGGGATCAGGGATCACAAGGCTTTTGAGCCCAAATCAGGGATCAGATTTATTACACGGTCTAAAAATCTCTTCTCACAATTTTTTTCTGCATAATAAGGTTTGTGTCCATAGAATTTCCTGTCAAGGTACATTACCTATTCTTGCTTCTGGCTGACGGCAGTTGCAGTTCCTGTCATACGAAGTCCTGGTTGTTTGACGAAAACATGGTATCATATTCTTAATCTATACGGTAATTGTTGAAGGCACCGTAATTTGAATCTCAAGTCACTTTTCTCGCGCTTTGTAACGCAACTCCTCAACGCGCTGTCAACGCCAGAAGGCAGAAAAAGCGATTTATACATATCTAAATTTTGGCGAGAAATGGGGAAGAAGAAAAACGACAAACAGAAATTCTGTGACAGAGAAAGGTACGTAAGTACTTCCTTGACTGATCTACTCCTGGCAAAGGTCCAAGCATAGAGTTTTTCGGCCGATCAAACATAACAATACCGCCAGAACATGGACAAACCGATTCATTGAAAGCGGAATTTACTGTATAGGTCCCGATTGCCTCATCGCCCCTCAAGCAAGTCACAAGGCGACTTTAAATCGAGGTTCGTATTTTTTGATCAGTAACTTAACTCTTAAAAGTACTTAAATAATTAGAATGGACGTCAAAAGTAGAATACAAAAGTGCAACGAATTCGCGCGCTTTGTTGCAAAATACATGCTTTCTCGCAATTTAATAAATCTGCTCTAACTGCATGGAGTTTTAGGGTTATCTCGAACTCTGATGAGAAACTGATATCGGTTCACCTACCAGCACTAGTATTGGGCCGGGAAAGAAAAGGACACATTCCTTTATTGTACAACTGATAAATGCTTGTGCGATAAATAGTCTGAAATTACAGTGTAGAATTAGTGAAAATAAGTGGAACACTAAAGACTTACGTCGGTGAAATAAAAGTAACAAAGCCTTTATAGTTTATTTTCTTTAGTTTTTTTTTTCTAAAATAAACGGTTGAATTGGTGAAAGGAATGTTGCATGGTACAAGTAGCAGAGTCTGCAGGAATTTAATATATTATAACACTCAGCATGAAGGCCCACCAGTAAGGGGCCCACTATTTGATTTTTGAGCCGGGTATGGGTTATTTTTTTTTAATGCAAGATTTTTTCAGACCTCGTTCGTGCAGTGGCTATTTTGTTTTGCACAAAATTTACAGACCTTAGTGACAATATTGATCTACAAGAATTTTTTTCGGCCCTTTGGGCTATTCGGCCTCGGCTTATGTAACGGTTGGCCCCGAAAGGTATCACCACCTTAGATTTGGAGCCTGAATTTTTTAGTGGAGAGAGAACACCCGCTCTGAACGACTACGCATCGCGGCGGCCCAGCTGCCTTTTACAATCAATAGAGAGGCTCTACCAATCCTCGTTTATCTTTTATACCGGTCCTCAAAGCCATTACACAAAGAGAAAGCTGGTTCCAAAGGCACCGGAATGGCTTCGAAAGTCGCAAGGCAGGAGTAAATCTTAAGGAGGATATGGACGAGGAAACGAGCGCGAAGGGAAAGGAGCGATAAAGGAAGGCATTGCAGAGCTTTGCGAAAGAATTCGGACGGGGTGTACGACAGCAACGAACGAGAGGGAAGACCAAAGAAAGAGCTCGTACACTTCCACTTGCTCTGAGTATGTTCAGAAGGAATGCGTCGGCACATGGAGATGTCGATCTGCTGAAAGAGGTTCAAGGGAGTGAAGGACAAACTACAGTTCAAGACGCAGCCCGAAGAATATGAGATTATCTATTCAAAAGACGACGTAGTTGCTCTCAAGCACAATTACAAGAGGTATCTCAGTCCTTTCTTCCTTGCAGTTCTTTTAAAAGATCTCCACCATAACAGTGACGCATTCCTGGAAGATCATATGGGTCTCAGATGGCTGGAACAGTCAGAAGGATATCCCCTTGTATACCAGACTGGGCACCGTGACGATAGAAATTCACCCAAGTGTATCATCGGGAAAGTTCAAATAATAAAGATGGAAATAATTTCTGTTTGAGCTGCCTTGAAGAGCAACGCATTGCATTAATATTGCTCAGGGGTCAGTTGAATCAAATGAGTGACCAGCGTCAGGTGGTGACGAAGAGAAAGGGGAGCAAGCTAAGGTGGACAGCTTTTCAGGGCCAGTTAGATTTGAAGCTGGAAGGAGTAGGTCTGGAAGACCTACAACCTGAACTGTAGAACCTGTGGCTCGCATCATTTAATTTTTCTACTTCATGTAAAGCAGGTATTTTGCTATTGCTAATTGATCGTGATCCTCACTGTAAAACACACAGAGTGAAAGAGGAAATTCATATGAGACTACACTCTAATAACATCAACAGGGATAGCAGAATAGAAAGTCCCGAAGCTTGGTTGCCCTTAATCAAGAAACACAGCAATAGGAGATCCGTACGACAGTGGACCAGTGAGGCAAAAGCTCATACAAACAGGGGCACCCAACGAGAATATAGTTCAAAACCACTTAAACGTAGCATTGTTAACGGTAGATATATAGGCATAGTTTTATCCCCTAAAAATTTTTCATCTGTTCGGATTTCCTAGCTGAAAGTCTAGTGATCCGAAAATTATAGGGATCAAAACTTACCTTTTCGAAAATTTCAGCCAGAAAAAAGGCTCCCGGAAATTCTAGGTGACCTTTTTAGGGTAAAAATCCGTTAAAAATGGGCAATTATACCATTTTTTAGATGTTCGAAAATCCTAGGAGAGGCAGGCAAGCAAAAAATTTTACAACAAATATTTTCCGAAAACTGACGTTGAGTGCCCCTGATACAAACAATTGAGTAAGAAATGCACCAATCTCAGCGGCTAATAATCGACCAACCAGAACCAGAGCTTGGAGTCATATAAGTTCACGTGTGACTAGTCGACGAAGAGTAGCAAGGCAAGGTCTTAAAGTGTCGCTTTTTCTAATGAACACTTGAAGTACGCAGTTGAAACGTCGCGATCTACATCATTAAGTGACTGAATCACGAGACAAACGACTACACTTTATTAACATCAATATTGTAAACCAGTAACACGGCCGACGTGAAATTTTTGGTTGCAAGAGTCTCTTTGGAAATAAAACATCTGTGACCCACACCGATCGGACATTGATTAACTGGACAAGTTATCCGAGCAAGCAGATGTTCGTACGGGACAGGAATTGGAAAGCTAGAGGAAGACCTTAGTTCAGAAGTACCTTACAGTGACGTTAATTCAACCGGGAACCAGCCAGCGTTAGCTGTGTTTGCTGTTTGACTAAAAATGTATTTATTCGATTTTTAAATACAATGCTTTCTTGTGATTGGCTTATAAACCTCCGGGTGGCCTTGCTCGTATGAGCAACACTGAGAATAAACCTTGTAAATACTCTTGATGAACGTTACATCTGAAAAAATCAAGATTCCGTCGCAAGATCTTTCAAGATGTACCATACTTAAAGGGAAGTGGACAACTTTTAATGTATAAATTAACAATAACTTACATTCTGTATCTCACTAAAGCTCCCGTTCAAGAAAATGAGGTTTTATCATTTGTCTAGTATCGCCAAACATTATATTTAAAGTGTTTTAAATAGAATAATGCACAAAAAGAGGTTGACTCATATTGTCTTTAAAGCTCTCTGACTGACAGAACCTACAACTTGCACTAAAAATTAAAAAGCTAATGTTTTTCTCATCAGCCCATTTGAGCATGTTCTATATAAACGAAGTTGTCTACGTTAAAATTTTGTGTAAAAACACGGATGGGATCAATTTTTTTATCAGGGCTCAGGGATCAAAATTTTGGGGAAAATGGGGCTCAGGGATCAAAATAACGGCAAGAAAATAGGGATCAATGGGTCCCGGATATACCATGTTACGACCCTGTTATTTAATAATAATTCTTAAGCAGCAAGCATGTATCATATTGCCCACTTAATTCACGTTTGCCGGAACGGAAAAGGTCTGTTAAACTCTGTAAGCGAGAGAATAAAGCTTGTTTACAGGATTAACTTACACGGTACAGCTTTCAAAAAAAAAAAAAAAGCTGCCTTTCAAACTTCTAAAACTACAATTTATAGGCCGTATACTTCCGAATTGAAGTCCGTATCTAAATATCAATTATCAACGTTTCATTTGAAGAATTTTGAAAAATATATGTTCTTTTATACTCTACCATGAAGCAGGTGAAACAGAACTCATAAATTGTGAAATACGTGCTTTGTACCGTTCGCCATAGTCAAATTAGGTCAGAAATGTCTTGAAGCAACACCCACACAAAAACATGAGCCCCCTAAACATCTCCATCACTGTACTTAGTGTTTGAACCAGGAAGATATTTAAATGTTATGCTTCTAAACACCCGGCTTTAGCCGTAATAAAAGACGAAAAAATAATAATTGTGAAGAACCAAGATGGCAGTCTCAAAGTGCCAGTTGTTTGACTTTTGGCAATGTCAAGGTTTAGATGCCAAAATCTCATTGGTTCCTGGTATCAAATCATTGTACCTTAAACCTCATTGGCCCCTGCAATACTCATCATAACACACACAGCCACAAACATACATATACGTTCAGACCACACTGACAAATGAGCTTTTTTTTTTTTCACGAATAGCTCAAAAACGTAAAATTAGACAAAAATGTGGAAAAAGAAATTCTGTTTTTTGCGGTTTCATGTTGGTGTCAAATGAAGAAACCTGATTGGCTCTGTTTGCCTTGGGTATCGAGAAACCCCAACCATTTACAACGTTAAATGTCATGGGCTGTTTCCTTCTTCTTTTTGACGTAACCATGGATATTTCCCATGGTAAATTTATCTCGGGGCAGTCCCGTCACACACACCACGCCAATTTTCCGCCGTAAAAGGGTCATTTACCACGGTAAAAGTGTCCCGCGTAACTGCACCTATTGTTAAGCTTTGTTAAGAACAATGAAGCATGCACGAATACAGTCTAATTGATTCAAACTTCAGCTCTTTAAACAACTTTGAAACTTAATATTTCTCACTTTTGATAACGGTGTTTGAAACATCGAAACGTTGAGTAACGTTTTTAAGTTTAATTTTTCCTTATATACGCAAACTAAATTAGATTAAAAACTTATACAAGAAATCATTAGAAAAAAGTATATTTACCAGTCACTGAATGAGCTTCAAAGCTGCTTTTCTTAAAAAATTCTTTGCTTCCCTTTGGAACTCCAGTCTAGGAAGGAAATTTTTAAATGATAAAGCTGCGAACGGGCAAAGAAATTGAAACTGTATATAGTCAGAAAATAAACAGTCAAACAAAAACTAGGTGTTCACGAAATGGCTAAACTGTGATTAATGAACATTGAAAGTATCACACTGAACCCGTCAAATGCGAATTTTCCTTTTCAATTTTTTTAGAATCATTATGCAGCATTACGAAGAGCATATTTAGATATCAATACATCAATATTAAAGGAATAGCTGAAGGAACAGAAAACTAGCCCTTTTGGGCTGAGATAAAAACAATGGTGCTGAACTCCCTGAGGCTGATGGAGAGGAATCTTTTTATAAGGGCAACCGGATTTTGGAATCCAGGAAATTTTGGTCTGTGGAATTCGGAATCCGGAAAAAAATCCTTGTGGAATCCGGAATACAGCTCAAGGAATCTGTATTCCCACTAATGCTTGGAATCCAGAATCCTAGTTTCACTGACAAAGATTGCAATCCAGTACCTGGAATCCGGAATCCACGGCGTAGAATCCAGAATCCAAGACTGTTTTGGATTCCCTTACATGGCGTAAATCCTTTGTTTGTCGTTCACAAACAGGCCATTTGCACTAAGAGGTCATATGACATCGTTCCATTAGTGTGTCATATCTTAAACAAAATGATGTGATAATATTGATTTGGTTTTTCAAACCCGCACCACTTTCCTAAACTGAGTCAGATCGTAGCTGGTCACTTGACCAAAATGTGATTTTCTTAAATTATGAATTACCTCTTTCCAAACACAAATTTTGCCCTTAAACTTCAAGAAGAAGGGTTGAAAAGTTCATGTGGTAACGTTTACAGCACATCTGAACGTATCAAACGTTTAACAAGACATAAGCAAAAGGTAGTTTTGGCCACCATGTTGGAGGGCAAGAGTATGCCCTCCAACATGGCGGCAAATACAAATCATACTACTTTGTTGAAAAATCAAAGTGCGATAAAATATCTCCCTTAAAGGGACAGTGTCCCGATTATGCGCACGCGCGAGCGTCATCTGTTTTTTCTTCAAAGACAATAGAACTGTCAAATTGACTTGACAAGATTTCCTTCCGGACCGCACCGCCGTCGGAGAGTTGTTGTTTATATTCTCAGGCAATATTTTAGACTTTCGAAGAAATCTTTCGTCTCATTTAAAATTTGGCTCGCGGCAGGAAGACTCATCGCGATTTTATCGCTAGCAGGGCCGCCTCGCGACCCGAAAATCTCTTTCCGCTCGCTTTAAAAACAGATTTTCTAATGTGAAACTCGTGTCAGAGGACAATTGTTCAAAGTCCAGTAATATCTGCCTGATTTCCTCGCGTTCTAGCCTCAAACGTTGGAAAGACACAAATAAAAATGCAATCTCAACGGTATGAATCATCGCAAAGGTTGATTTCATGGAACTATTTTTTCTAAACATGTAGCGCCTGTTTGTTTGATTTTGTCGGCCGTATGGAGATTCATTTAAAAGTTTACTAACGCGTCGTTGCAAAACATTCTGCTTCACGAAGCTCCCCTCCACAAGATCTCCTCAGTCACATCAATGTCTCAATGGTTTCTTTCTTACAGTCTTTATTGTTGCTGTTTCATTTCTGCGTATTCCTTTCACAATTATCTGAGCTTGTATGGAAGCTAGCAGAAGAAATAAGCCTTCACTCGGCATCAAAGCGCTTCCCATCTTTTGGTCCTCCGGCCAACGGCAATAAAAGTAACGCCAAAAACTCCAGATTTGGCCCAAATCAAAACTTAACAGGAACAATATATCATTGATCTGTAATCCTGAGAAGTTTTAGTGTAGTATTGAACTCGGCCAAGCGTGATGCAAACGGATTTTTCAAGGTTCTCTTACTCTCCTCGCATCTTTTGATTTCGGGACATCCTGTCCAAAAATCAAAGTTTGGTGCATGCGCAGTAACGGGATACTGTTCCTTTCAGTGCTATTCCTCTCAAATTTCGGGTGTAAGATAATTTTTATGTGCTCTGTCAATTTTTGGCATCAGCAAGATTCCAACTCAATGTTTAAAGGAAGCATTGATTACGTGACCTCTTAGAACAAGTAGCCAATCGTCTTTCTGCTGGCTCACACTTTGGCTTTTTGTCTTCAAGTATCACAACTAAACCTTAAATTCTATGAAATGCGCCCTCAATGGTACTGTGCTCTAAATGAAAACTGCCATTTTGCGAACACAAAAACGGTTGACAATAAACATTGTATTCATCACCTTAAACCATGTGGAACAAAATGCAAAAAAATACTTGACCTACGAGATATGCCTCCGATGTGCCTGCTCTTCTGTTTTTCGATGCCCGTAGACTTTGTCAGCAGCTGAACAACTAGTTTGTCTTGAACGCCGGTCAACATCGAAAGGCGAATATCAGTTTTCATATTGTTGTTGTTAAACGTTTAGTGCTGACACATTTTCCAGGACCGTTTGTAGTATATATAGTCATTAATTTATTGGCTGTTCTGCTTTTGCGAGTCGTTAAGCTTGCTTCCCGGAAGAATAGGAAAGATTATGGTGTACTTCGTACTAGCATTCGGGAATGGTAAGTTAAGCGATGAAGAAAGAGTAAAGAAAGTATGTTTCCGACTAGTGTCTTCTGGTGTCTTAATCCTCGGACGTACAACGAGGGGTGGCTGCCAACCTCCCCCATTCCCCCCTCCCCCCGAGGTCTTTTCTAAATTTTTCCTAGAGGATAAAACATCAGCACCTGCCGTTTTCATTAGCTGTTTGTTTATCCCTCGCACACATTTTGAGGCAAGTTTAGTGATGGTCGATTACTATGGTTACGAGATATAACGTCATAAGTAGCAGGTGGTCAAGCCATTTTTGAGTGAAAATTCATTTTTTTCAACTTTTTTCAATACTAAAAGTAAAACTTGTGAATAAAATGATGCAAAGTGCTTATTTATGTGTTATTTCACATGTCAAGTACCAAAAATTACCATTTATTGCCATTTTAACCTGATTTCTAATTCTTGGTAAAATCCAAGATGACAGCCTCTAGCAGCGCCACCATCCATAAAATATACCTCATCTTGTTGAGAGAATCAAAGGCTTTCCACTGATGGCAAAATCGTTTCGAAATTCTGCAACAAATCAAAAACTCTGGGGAGGGTTCCACGAAACCCCCTCCCCTCCCCCTCTTGTACCCCGGGGGGGTGTGAATTTTACGTCCGAGGGTAAAAACACTACATATACCGCTAAGAAAAAACATATAAAAAAGCAATCTGATCATTCATCTAGTGTTTGTAGGTTGTATAGCGCTTCGCCGATATGACTTAGAGTTCCTTCGTTTCCTTGTTAAAGCTTTTCAAAATATATAAATTCTTAAGTGGCTAGTGTACCTTTTTGCCAAACTCTTCATCCAAGGAGCGCAGGTTTTCAGAGGTGATGATCGAGGAGACCTGGGCAGTAATGAGTGACATTAACATCAATCCGACGATCATCCACAGCGAAGCATATGCCCGAGCAAGTATGGATTTTGGAGTCTTGTCACCATAGCTACCAATAAAATAAACATTAGAGACCTTTAGATTCTAAGACGAGTACGACTACGAGGACGAGATTTCCTCAATACTAAGTATTGCGCGCGAAATCCCGAGTTCACAAAACAGTGACAAGGCAGCCTCGTTAATTTTGCCCGGTAGTAGTAAACATGAGCGTATGTATAAAAAGTCAGCTACATTTACTCACTTCACAATAAATCACGCTTTTCAAACAGCATGTAGTCTTTTCTTACCTTCAAACTAATCAACACTAGGATATTCTTGTATTTTCAAAGAGTTTTTACTCCCTTTCATTTTTTGGTTCTCGTTTCATTTCTCGCGCGGTCAAAACCGAAAGTCCCCTTCCACGATCTTGTTTTGCTCCGAAACCAAACGGAAACGCTTGCTACGCAGGCTAAACACCCATTTTTACGACAGCGATTTTGTTACTTCGGCGGAGCGCGAAGTAAAGGATTCGCGACGCTCAGGAATGTATCAAAGTTGCATTTTTTGGACAAGATTGGGCAAGCAAAGTCTGTAGGTTTTCGGTTCTATTCGGCTATTTGACGAAGTGAGAGCCGAATTAGTTCGAGATATCTCGAGATCACTTTGATTTCTTTGATTTATTCTTTAACTTTTTCGAAGGAGAAAGAATTATTATTTTGGCTTTCCCGGGGTTTGAACCGACTCACCTGTGTGACCCGTCAGATCAGAGGAGACTCTTAAGTTGAGGGATTAGCCGAATGCGCTACTGCGACCCCCCCAAAAAAATAGTTATGAAATGATGCACTAGTGTCGGGACAAGATTGGGCGTGCAAGTTCGTGACTTTTCGGCTTGTTTCAACTATTTCACGAAATGAGACCGGACTACTTCGCGATATCTTGAGATCACTTCGAGTTTAGTCTTTAATTACTCGAGGAATAAATGATATTTATTTCTGAAATAAATGGTTTTATGCTGAATGTGACTAATCATTATTGTATTTCTTCAGCTACCAGCAAAGGAGGGTTTCCTGTCATCCGGGTGATTTGTCACGAAAATGTCATTTATGTCACGGGTATTGTAAGTCTCAGAAGTGAGGCACAAGGCCTCCTTCCTCGCATTACAAGACAGTGAGAAACATCTTTGATGGCGACCAGATTTAGATGCAGGATGCTTGCGATTTATCAGTCTCTTTTGCTCTTCTTAGGTCTTACCTACCGAGCATCACCTCTTCTTTGAGATAAGTACTAGATTCATTGCCCGATGGCTCACCGCTTACTCTCGGTGCTGTATTGATGTCCGCAGTCATGTTCGTGCACATGATCGTCTTGTTGATTGCGGGAATTCATACACGTTACGGTCGTTTATGCTAATGAAATGCCATTGTTTATTGGTAACTTCGAATTCTACATCCAATCGACCATTAATTTTTAATGTTTTCAGTTACACTGGCGTGTATGCTAGTCCGTTCGGTGTCCGTAGCACTTCGTTGTCCCTCAGACTGGTTGTGCCTCGTGTTCCTTCAGCTACTTGTATCGCTGGTGCCAACTGGCGCTATATTTGAAATCAGTAACACTCGCCCGATCTTCAGTTGAAATTTTTATTCATACGAGCCTGGAGCTGGGTCTCTTTGTTTATGATCTTAGCTGTTTTATGAGTTGGAAAGACACTTTACTTATTCATAATTATTTTGAGTATTTGAGCATTTTTGACCTGTGCACTCAGCTACAATTAAAATTACAGTATTATCAAAAAACAACAACAACAACAACAAAACAAAGCCAAACAAAACGATGCGTTATTAAACCCTACAGGCTAAAACGTGCATGCACCATACCTTCCACACTTTAACAAGGTTTTAGAAATTACCTTGCAACCATTCTAACAAAGTTACCTCAGAGGTACAATGTACTGTATCAGCATATCGGGTTTATCGTTTGCTGTTCATATGTCAAATTACCTTGCAACCATTCTAACAAAGTTACCTCATAGGTACAGTGTACTGTGTCAGCATATCGGGTTTATCGTTTGCTGTTCATATGTCAGTTTTGTCTGCATATTGTGTTTTTACCCTGTTGCATTGTGTATCGTTGTGTTCTGTTGTTTTCCTTTACTCGCTGTCGGCGACATTCTGTCTGCCAGTGCTTACTTCTGGGCCGTTTTTTCAGTGTGAGGTTTTGTTCCTCCACTTGTATTTAGGCATTGTCCACATTTTGTTGAGGTTGTGTCCTCATGTTTATTTTGAGGCTTTGTCCTCATATTTTATATTGAGGCTTCGTCCTCATATTTTATTTTGAGGCTTTGTCCTCATCTTTTATATTGAGGCTTTGTCCTCATATTTTATTTTGAGGTTTTGTCCTCATGTTTATTTTGAGCCTTTGTCCTCATATTTTATATTGAGGCTTCGTCCTCATTTTTTTATATTGAGGCTTCGTCCTCATATTTTATTTTGAGGCTTTGTCCTCATGTTTTATATTGAGGCTTTGTCCTCATTGTTTTATATTGAGGCTATGTTCCTCAGTTTGAGGCTTTGGTCCTCATTGTTGTAGGCCTCTGTTACTTTGTTTGTACTGCTTATTTGATTTGTTTGCAGTGATATGTGTGTGGTTCTGTTTGTTTATATTTTTGTCTAGGGTAACCAGATGCCAATATTATTTGGTTTGAATTTGTATTCAAATTTTTCACCTTTTATGTCTATTTTTTAGTACTTATTCGTGCAATCCGTTATTTTGGTTTACATGCAGCTAGATTAATTTTAATCTCCGGTTTTGTTGGCTCCCCTGTTTTGATATGTGTGGACATTACAGTCCTGTGTTTATTGTGATGGGACACTGTTATGCGTTTTTTATGCTCTACTCTCCACGTCACATCACTGCTTTTAGCTTTGTTGTTTTGGAGGAATTTACTGTTAATTCGTTTTGTTTGGGAGATCCTGATTGATTTATTAATTGGTTTCACAATTGTTCTTTAATGGTAGCACATTCTGGCTTTTTAAAGAAGTTGTTTTTATAGTTTTTTTCATTTTATTGCAGGTGCTAAGGTATACACATGCAGCTCCCTTTCGTCACCTTTTCAATGAAACCAGTCTTGGGCAGAGTACCAACCGGCTTTATCCAACCATCTTCAGCTTTCCCTTGGCATCTCTCTTAAGAAAGTCAATAGCTCTGCATTCTCTTTGGTTCCTCAATTCAGTTCAACATAGTATGCCAGAAATGTTCCAAAGAATTGTACACATTCTGCTGATCAGTTTTCCAGGAGTTGCATCTCTAGTGCCGGGCTACTCAAGAGCAGCTGCTGCATCCCTTGGCATGTGGCATCTACATGTACATCTACTTGGGCAAAACTTTCCTCAGGCAACTTTAGCTTGCTGGGCATTGTGATTGGGTATATATGTAGCTCAAGTGTATACGACATGAATGTCATTTGATACTTATGTGCAGGACATGTGGGCAGTGACATTGTGATATGTAGAATTCTCACCACATGAGTCAGGCTCATTCGGCCATCTTACAGTATTTGTCACTTTATTCACCTGTTAGTTTCCTAGGTGATTTCTGCTTATCGTATAGTTTCAAGGTGACTGTGTGAACAGGGGCCATACAGCCATCTCACAGATTTTCATTTGAATCAGTTACATCAATGAGTTACCTCAGACTTTTTATTGGTATCAGTCAAGGTGACTGTGTGAGCAGGGGCCATACAGCCATCTCACAGATTTATTTTAATCAGCTACATCAGTGAGCTATTTCAGACTTTTGATAAGTATAATTCTGCATGACTGTGTGAGCAGGGGCCTTACAGCCATATCACAGATTTCCAAATTTAATCTGTCCATTATGCCACTGAGCTATGACAATTTAGAGTAAATTGTTATTATTTAAATTCATGTTTACTGTGTGAGCAGGGACCATACAGCCATCTTACCGATTTAATTTTAATCAGTTACATTAACGAGCCATTTTAGCTTTTTGATATGTATAATTCAGTGTGACCGTGGGAGCAGGGGCTATACAGCCAGATCACTGTTTTTCAAATTAAATCATTTCATTATGTCACTGAGCTATGACCATTCAGCCTACATTGTTATCATTTATATTCATGGTGACTGTGTGAGCAGGGGCCATACAGCCATCTTATCAATTAATTTTCACTTCTAATCATTTCAACCTGGTTTAACTTTACAGCTTTTTAACAGCTTAGTATTGATGTGGCATTAGTGAGGCCGATATTATAAGTTGACCGTGTGAGCTGACAGGCTATGCAGCTATTTCCTTTATTCTAGCTACAGTAGCCCGTTTCTGTTGGTTACATCAATCCACTTCTGTATCCAAGACTTATGTAGGCCATTCCATTCCCATCTAGTGTCCAGTGCTTAGTGAATAAGTGCAATTTATGATGGCTGTGTGAACAAGGGCCATACAGTTATCTCATTCATTTTCACTTTTAAACTGTTAGTTAACTTAAGTGATTCACACTTTTTGATCTGTGTCAGATACAATGACAGTGTGAGCAAGGGCCATACACCCCTCACAGTCATTCAAACTTGTACATTTCTGTTGGTTACACTTATCCATTTCAGTAAACAGGGCTTGGTAAACAGCCTTACCATTCTATTTCTATATGTTTACGTGCATAACCTCCACTGAACTAAACTAGTGGAACTAAGCTGTAAGTGACAGTGACAAAGAATGTATACAATGTCGTATTGCTATGAACACACATGAGCCGTTATGGCGCTAGTTGACTCTATTGTTGTAAGTTGTACACGGCTGGATGATTATAATACATGTATATTCATCTCAGCTCTCGCACATTGACATTTTTTATTTTTAATGTGGTATCTTTCTTACCTTTAACCCCCAGAGGTTTTGTGTGACTGCATTGGTTGGGGGATACGTTCCCAATTTTTCCCATGTGGTTTTTCGGGTTTTCGTATCAGGCGGCGCACACCTTTTTCCATTGTACATTTTTTTTTCGTCTTGCTTTGGCCTCGGGTGGGGCGGCCCTTTCACTCGTTCCTTGCTCTGGGCTGTGGCGGGTGTGCCCTCACCTTTGCTGGGATAATGTTCTTGTGTATCGGGTTTTCCCAGCGTTATATGCTTTAATTCAATAAACGGCCACTCCCGTGGCCAAAATATCCCTTAATGGGTTTGTTATTATTTTGTGTCCCAGCAAACAGAGCTCACCCAAAGCAAGACTCTGCCAACATCAATAACTTTCGTAATATGTATGACCGGTAGTAAAATTGCTTTCATGCGTTGCGTGACTTTCTCGAACGTTCTCTACGTTTTTGGATTATCCATGAATAATTAATTAGGGTATGTTTACATTTCAGCATGAGTCAGCAGATTTGCATCAGTTACTGAAATCATAAAATATGTCGAAAAGCTACTACTATTCGCCTGTTTAGTATTTTCTAGAACCTTATGTCAAACGGTATAAGTTCCAAGCGAGTTCTTTTGACGAACTAAGTTTTTTCCCACGAGCTGGACTGCTGTGTTTAGTCAAGTGTGAGGAAGGTCGATTTTCAGGTTCTGTGTTTACAAGTTCGCGGAAGCCGTAAGATATCTGAAGTTCAAGTGACAGTTTGTTATTATTGGTAGAGGCTGTTTAGTTTTACTCAAAGTTCAAGTCAAGTTTGTGTTGGTGGATGCTGTGTTTTAAAGTTCTATAAAGGCTATGTTCCTTTGGTGTTAAACTTCCTTGTGTTAATCCGACATTCCTACGTGCTGATAGTCAGTGAATAATTATCTTCAAAACATTCGAACTCGTGACTTTGAGTTTTAGCCAATTCCATGCTCAACGTAATTGACTCCTCAGGGGCACCCAACGAGAATATAGTTCAAAACTACTTAAACATAGCATTGTTAAACGTATTTTAGTATTAAAACGGTAGATATAGGCATATTTTTATCCCCTAAAATTTTTCATCTGTTCGGATTTCCCAGCTGAAAGTCTAGTGATTCGAAAATTATAGGGATCAAAACTTACCTTTTCGAAAATTTCAGCTAGAAAAAAGGCTCCCGAAAATTGTAGGTGACCCTTTTAGGGTAAAAATCAGTTAAAAATGGGCAATTATACCATTTTTTAGATATTCGAAAATCCTAGGAGAGGCAGACAAGCAAGAAATTTTGGAAAAAATGTTCCGAAAATTCTAGATCTCAAATCGTCTTCCGGACAGATATTTTCTGAAAATTGTCGTTGGGTGCCCCTGACTCCTTACCGTTGCGTTACATATCTTTAATCAGTACATGAGACTGCTATGCTATTTTTGAAGCCTGATGTGACTAAGAAAAATAGAGAATTGTTTTTTTAGAAGGATTTGTATGGAGTCATCAGAGCATAGCTGGGCTAATATCTCGGAGATAATTTGTCCCGAAATCCTAGTTGTTGGCAAGTAGGCCTCTTGGATGTTGCTCTTTTCAAAATATGCTGACAAATCCCATAATGTCACAAGCTAACACCTTACGCTTACCATATTTGATTTCTTACAATTCCTCCGCATTTTCAGTTAATTGGTTCGACAACCACGACGCCGAAGTGTACGCTCCGTAGCGTCTTGTTTTGTTTTGTATTCACCGCCTAGCGCGGTGAATATAGTGTCATACTCCGAGATAGCGAACCAATCAGATTGCTTGAATCAAAAAGAGCACTGAGTGTGTATATAATGAAATAATATTTTCATTGATCTGGAAAGAAAACATATGCTGAGTTACAAAAGCGAACGTTTTAACAAGCGAACCTTCGTCGAAAGCTATATATGCTCTAATCGAGATCTTCAGTCGGTGGTGCTCAGGTAATAGGGACTTTAACATTCGGTCACTACGGACTACGAACTACTTATGGGCGTGAGAGTCCAAGCCACGCGTGGAATGGGCCGACTATGCTAAAAGGCTGCGAAAATTGGACTGGTGTTTTATGTTAAGATGGTGACAACGAAGACTTAGACTGCGGCTGCACTTGAAAAAGAAAAGGTCTTTCCAAGATGTTAGGAACACCCTTTTAATCGCTTATGCCGATGGTTTTCTCGATGATGAAGAGTTTAGTATTCTTTACGATTATTACCAACCCGTTAATCCCCCCATTTCCAGACTGGAATTTTGATCCATTCTGTTTGGATGTGTTCGACTCTTGCGAGTGTGAAGCTCACTTCACAGTGGCCAAGGATGATATTCCGATTTTATTGAACGCATTGCGGATTCCGGAGAGTTTCAAGTGCCCACAGGGAACAGTTTGCAGTGGCTTAGAAGGACTTTGTTTACTGCTAAAACAATTAGCATACCCATGCCGCTATTTCGATTTAATTTCAACTTTTGGACGTCCGGTGCCAGAGCTGTGCATGATGGCTAACACTGAACTTGATTGGGTTTTTAATGAACACGGGTTTCGTTTAACCTCTTGGAATCAGCCATTTGTCACCCCTAATTGCCTTCAAGAATACGCCCGTGCTATAACAAGACAAGGAAGTCCACTTACCAATTGTTTTGGTTTCAATGACGACACGGTTCGCCCCATATGCCGCTCTGGAGAAAAACAGCGCATTGTATACAACGGGCACGAGCGTGTTCAGGCGCTAATAATTCGATCTATAGCACTGCCAATAGGTTTGATAGCAAATCGTTATGGTCCGGTGGAGGGTGCGCGCCACGATGCAGGGATGCTCAAAGAAGCTGGCCTACCGCAAACATATTAAACTGAGAGAAGATTACAGTCCAAGGGGGGAGGTCCTATGTCTCTATGGAGACCCATCTTACCCACTTCGTTCCCGTGTGCGACAAATGCAGACTGGCAGGTAAACGAGGTAAACATTTGTTGTGAAATGCTTCAACAGATTCCTAAACTAGAGTTTTAAATGACTTAAACTTTGAGGGATAGGGAATCTGTTGAAGCATTCTACAACAAGGTTTACCTCGTTTACCTGCCAGTCTGCAAGTCTGCCGTCTGCGTTTGTCGCACTAATGGTCAACGGCGTTATCGGTTCAACATCACACAAAATTTTTTTTTTCCTTTTCTGGCCAGGCCCAAGCCATTGCCAGAAAAATGCTTTCTTTAAAAGGGCAAAAAAAAGAGTATATGCTATACGCCACCCCGGACATCACCGGAAACCAAGCGAAAAGTTACAATGTCAGGGTAGTTGAGGGGTAGGGTGGGGGCAAGGAGAAATAGTCTGTGAGGGATACTGGCTAAAATTAATAAATGAATGAATTTCCCGTACTAGCAAAGTATCATCTTGAAAATTTTGCGTTTTTAATTTCAGAGAAAATAAAATAAACAAACGATCAAAACAAAACACCACTTGGGTGATATTTAGGTAATGCAATCACGGCCGCAGAGACATGAAGGCAAAAATCCATCTCCAGTGGAAAGCCAATTTTACGATTTTTAAAGAATCAAAATTATAGACCAATCGGCGGGGTATATTTTCAGGGTACAATTGTAACAAGGTAGTTTATGGCTTTTCATCCTCTTTTTAAAGCCTAAATACTGATACGGTCTGCAAATTATTAGAAGAAGCGGATGGTCAGCACGTACATGATAGTTTTTCAGGTTTTTGGTTGTTTCACGGATAGTCTTTGAACGGTCGTAATTCGGCTTCATATATATTTTACGGATTGGTTTTGCAGGGGGTCTTAGTTTTCGTAATAACGAAAACTAAGGGGGATCTTTGTTTTCGAAATTGAGAAAACTAAGACCCCTAAATTTACCGTTAAATTTGACCTAAAACTCGGTGGAAAGAATCGGACAGAAGATAATTTGCTAGATTAGACCTATTTCGGTTACAATTTGACTTCATATTTCGACGGAGTCGATTTTAGGGGATCTTCAGTAGTTTTCGTAATCTCGAAAACTGAGACGGGTCTTAGGTCTTAGGTCTTAGTTTTCGAGGGTCTTAGTTTTCGTAACACCCCGGTGAAATGGCTATTTGGCGATATCTCCAGCTCCTTCAAGTTCATAGATTTCCAGAAAAAGGTAAAGTTAGGATTAAGCGCAATTGGAAAGCAGTATATAGTTTCGGCACTGTCTAGAAATATTCTCACCTGCATCTATAGTAACACAACATCAACACATTTTCAACTTGATCCACCAATTGTTCAAGAAAATTTGGCCTACTGGCACCATAGTATATAAAGTAGAAATGTCTGAGCCCATGCCAAGTCAGACAAAATATAATAGGTTGTTCAAACACCTAATCCAGGATTTCAGGTTTTATTTTTTTCATACAAGTTCATTGCTAGTGTCTGGTGAGTCTTCAGTCTGTCAAAATGAAATTTAAAAGAGAAAGCAGCAAGGCTTTAAAAAGAATAAAACAAATGCTCTCTTGAAACCAGGACAAAGAGGCCAATTAGTATAACCTATAAAGTTCTTATGAAGCACTGATCAAATTTTAAAACGCTGGTCAGCGTTGTCTTTGTTTGCCGGGTGTTGGGTCAGGGAGGGGGTCTGAACCGGTGAAGGAGGGCACAGAAAACTCTGATTGACACGAAGTTTATTTTCCACTGAAGTTGGTAAACCATGGTAATCATCTATGGTATGTGCAACAACTTTACTATCAACCAATACAGTGACTTCAATTCACTGTTAACTTAATTCCTGTATGAAAAAGATAATGGACCCAAACTGTCAAAGGAATAACAATTTCATGACCACTTTGGCAAAAATTATTAAATTCCTGTATTATGGAAAACATGAACAATAAACAAGTTATCCTTTCCCTTGTTTCTACTTACAACAATTTACCAAACAAAGTTCACCACGTATGCTTATTTATTTTGGGGGACTCTTCTGATAACTAATAGAAAAATGCAACAGTTTGTTAAAGGTGCTGTGAAACAAAGCAACATATTAGAGACTCCAAAAACTGCAAAACGCCCCTTTGAATTGAATGTGTGGGATGGCAAAATAACCAAGCTCTCTAACAACAAAAAATCTTAAATGTTATCACTTTGTACGTTTTTGTACTAGAGCAAGAATAAAGCTTTGTGTGTTCATTTGACTTTGCATCATTTGCTTCATCCGCTCTTGTTTCACTTTGAATTGCTCTTTTTGCTGCTCAGCCTGAAGTTGCAGAGGCTTCACTACTTGTTCTAGCCTTCGCCCATGTAGTCATGGGTTTATCTCTACATGCAAGTGCATCGTTCCTCTTCTGGTCATCGTTTTTGTCGTTTGCATTTCCTACGCGAAGTGTTGTTGAATGACTCCATGGTGTCAACTATTTCCTCAACAGGGTGAAAAGAAAGTCAGTTTTACGGCTTACTATTCGGGCAAGTTGCTGCTAGTATGACTAGCCCAAGAGTCTTTTTAACTAGCCCAAAAATGTTTTTCATAATTTGAATTTCCCAAAAAACTTCACTTGCCCTTCGGGCAAGTTAAGAACAGAATTCAATAGCCTGATTGCAAAATCCACTAGCCCCGGGCTATCGGACACAACTTTCATTGAACGCTACTCAAGCAATGTTTCGTTTTCTGTTGGTGGATCAGGCTTGATCCCACTTGCTTGTTCGTCCTTGTTTTTCTTGTTTTTGTAGTCTTTTAACAGCTTATTAACTTGTTCTCGCACACTACGCTGAACCCGAGGAATGTCGCTAACGAGTATTTTTTGCTTCATTCCAACGAAACGGCCCATTATAAAAGGAAGATATTTTATAAAATTAATACGTAACATCAAAAATATTTTCTTGCTATAAAACTGCATACTGGCTATGTTTTATAACCTGCTGATCACAACATAAAAAGCTGTCCTTAGGCTGCTGTCTCCAGACAGTAAATTATTTTATTTTGGGAAACAAGTTTAAATTCAAAAAACATTACTTTTAAATCCAAAGTAAAACATAACACTCCCAATTTCGTCATGGTATCAGATTTCGATTCATCATAGTTCTCCATTAATTTCCCTGTCGAGGAGTCGACACCATAAAACACAGAAAAATTTACTCAACTGTTCTTAATGCGAAAGACTCAAAACACGTGTGTTCATTCCTCATTGTCACGTGTTCATTTAATTGTCACTCAAAATCGGGCCTAAAACCGGAAGCTAAGGCACATTCCCGCCCCTCGTTGCGACACAAAGTCAAGTCGATTTACAGTTTCTAGACCTACAATAGGTCTTCCCTTCCTCTAGAAACACATTTTTGTGATTGGTCTCTTGTACTCTCCGTATTGACTACGCACCGTGACTGCTCGGACCATCCCATCCCATACAGGCCGGAGTAGACACAATCCTACCCGAAGGCCACATTCCTCGTGGCTGGTTCGGTTCTTCAACAAGCACTACGCCTCCTTCCTTCAGATTCTTTCTCTTCTCTCTCCACTTCTTCCTCTCTGTAACACTAGGCATATGCTCCTTGTTTAAGCGCTTCCAAAAGAAGTGTTGACAAGCGCTTGAGACTGTCGCCTTAATTTCGTTACGTTTATCTCTCTCTCACTAACTTCAGCCTCTTCATTACTCGAATTTGCTCGCAGAAGCAGAAAATGATTTGGCTTCAGCGCTTCTATATCACCCGCATCGTTTGAGACATGCGTGATGGGGCGACTGTTTAGTACACCATCTGCTTCGACCAGAGCTGTTCTAAAAGCTTCTTTAGCAACGATCCTGTTTTGCAGCACAGACTTCAAGGTTTTCTTTGCACACTGCACTAACCTCTCCCACGCGCCACCGAAGTGGGGTGCCCTTGGTGGTTGGAAATTCTACTCAATCTCCTTTGGTTCACAAAAGTTTTGTACTTTCTCTTCATTCAGTTGTCTTAGAAATTTCAACAGCGCATTATTGGCACCTACAAACTTAGTTCCATTATCGCTGTATATTCGCAATGAACCTTTTCAAAGCCATAATGAAATAATCCGTTGATAGATCGTCCACCAGTTCAAGATGGCAAGCTCTAGTTTAACCATGCAAACAAACAAACAACCGTACACTTAAACTTCACTGCGTCTCTTCTTAATTATCACAGGACCAAAAAAAATCAACCCCAGTGTTCCTGAATACCATTCCAGGTTCACGTCTACACTCAGGTAGGTTTCCCATTTGCTGCTCCTGAGGTCTAACTGTCTGACGATAACAGTAATTGCACTTAAATTTCACGCTCCTCACAGCTTAACGACAATGGATGATCCAATAGTCCTGTCTAATTTGATTCACCAAATTTTCGGTTGGTGGACTGTGGTAGGTACAATGAATGTCCTCAATGATCAGCTGCGCAAGCTCATGATGTGAGTCAATTATCTTCGGATGTCGTGTCTTGCAAGGGAGGGCTTGTTCCTTTTGCAACCTTCCACCGACTACTAGAAATCCACCCTCCATTCTCGGATCAAGAGACTTGATTCTTCTCCGCTTATGAACCCCCTGACCATTTTCCAGGTACCTTATCTCCTCGCCAAAAGACTCTACTTGCGCTCCCTTCACTGGCTGGTTCTGAGCAGCTCTTAAGTCTGTTGCTGTCACTGGCCCCGTCTGACGCAGTTCCTTCTTTACTCGTCTATTCCTTGCAAATCGCACCTCGTACGCCAGCACTCTTGTTAGTTTCGCGAGGGACGAATATCTTTTCCAACCCAACACAGGCTCAATTTCCTGGGAAACTCCGACCCATCTTAGCGTTTTCGTTTCTCTCTTGTCTTCTTCCAGGTGCACTTCAACTTTGTTTTCTGGCCAGAACTCGGCTGCTTTGTAAAGGAACTCCAACCAAGCGCTGTAGGGATGCTTCACGTATAGTCCTACAGGGTGGAGTTCCCGGGTAATATCATTTGCCGGATTATCAAATGTCGGCGTGTATCTCCAACTCACCGTACCCGCCCCTAGTGTAGTCTCTAGGTTGCTCATGATTGTGTGTGTCTCGGATACTCGATTTCCCACGAACGCCTGTGAAGAACGGTGGTAGAATCACTCCAGAAGGTTATCTTCTCTATCTTTGTCATTAACTGTGCTAGCGCTGCCAGTGTTTCAGCTAAACGGGCAGCAATAAGAGCTCCCATTACTTCAAGTCTACTGTTTATTGTTTATTGTTTTGTTTGCCAAAAATTATACAAATCAAATAAAATCTAATTACCTTAACTCTCATGGCGAGGAAGCCCAAGAGAAGCCACCGGGCTTATAAGGAATGGGCTCCCTCAGTCAGATAATTAGAACAAAATATTATCATAATTACACACGGGAAAATCAATGGCAGAGCTACAGTAAATCTTAAAATAAGTATATTAGATAGTCGTACTAATCATAGTTCTAGGCTGAAAAAAGCGAAATGACAAAAAGAAAAAAAACAAAACAAAACAAAACAAGAGCAAATAAAAGAGCAAAGGAAGAAAAAAAATACATATATATATATATATATATATATATATAAATTACTTTTTATGATAAGAGGAATGCTTTCAGCTTACAGCAAAAGGAAGCGGTACTTGTTGCATTTCGAATTTCAAAACTAAGAGAGTTAAAAAATTTAGGACCTTGGAAACTGATGGAGAACTTTCTTATATTAGTCCTGCATTGTGGTAAATAAAAATGCTCCGAACTTCTAGTGCCATAAGAATGCACCTGGCGTGTCACCAGAAACATGTTATTGAAGCTATAAGGAAGTAAGCCAGATCTGTATTGATACATAAATTTTCCTATTTGAAGTTTGTAGATACTCTCAAGATTCAGAATTTTTAAATTTTTAAATAAGGGGTCAGTGTGAGCATCGAAAGCACTCCTCGACATTATTCTTACGACCCGTTTTTGAAGTGTGATTAATCTTCTGAGGTTTGATGGGTAGGTCGATGCCCAGACGCTCACGCAGTAGAATAAGTATGGGTAGATAAGGCTAAAATAAAGCATCCGTAAGGAGGAATTATTAAGGCAAAAACTTGATTTATAAATTATACCTATGGCTTTAGACACTTTCCTAGCAACATTATGTATATGTGATTTCCATGTTAAATGTTCATCCAAAATTACACCAAGAAAAGTAGCTTCCTTAACACGGTCAATCGAATAATTACTAATATTAAAAGCTAAATCAAGTGTTTGCCTGTTTTGTCTCGGTCTGAATATGATAAAATTAGATTTCTTAACATTAATAGATAGCTTATTTGTATAAAACCAACACGTTATCTTTTTCAATTCTAAATTTACAACTTCCATAAGATAGGAAGCATCAGTATGCGAATAGAAGATATTAGTGTCATCAGCAAATAGTATCAGCTCTAAGACCTTTGACACATTACATAGATCATTTATATATACTAAGAATAACAGGGGACCTAAGATAGATCCCTGAGGGACTCCGCAAGTGATATCTAATGATGAAGAGTTGTAACCATTATATTGCACAAATTGTTTTCGACAAGATAGATAACTTACGGATTTACGTGCCCTTAGTGGCACAACTCGACCATTCCCAGCGACTAGTCTGCATTCAACTACATTATCTTCAAACTCTCGTCTACGGTGCGCACTCGCTCCGTAAGCATCTCGGCTCGCGTCAAAAAACACATTCAGGATAGTTTCTCGAAATAGCTCGTTTCGGCTGAATAGTGTCCTCAGAATTTGCACAGTTTCAAGCAGCTCTGGTTCTTTAAACCATTCGCACCACCCACGAAGATCAGCGTCTTTCAACCCATCATCCCACCCATACTATGAGCGATTCAGATTTTGAAGGATAATCTTGCTTCTGATTGAAAACGGGAGGAGAAGTACTCGAGGGTCCCAAACAGAGAACGCTTCGCTTAAGATTGTTAGCCACTTGTGTAATTTGAAACTTTCACGGCGCAATAACTCTGTCATCTGCTTCCGCATTTCAATAGCTTCTCGCAAGTCAGTAGACGGTAGATCGTCATCCATGTCAAAATGCTTGTAAACAGCCTTGACGCCGAGGGGCAGATCTACCCTGTTCTCATCTGCATTACGCCTCATCGTGTAGTTAGCCCTAGATGGCGCCGACACTTCTCCTAAACTGTTCTATCAAACTGATAACCACTTGGTTCTTCGTTCGGCGATTCCCTGTAAAGGAACCTCCAAAGGAACCTCTGCATTACGCCTCATCGTTTAGTTAGGCCGAGATGGGGCCGACACTTTTCCAAAAACTGTTCTCTCAAACTTATAACCACTTTGTTCTTCGTTCGGCGATTCCCTCCAAAGGAACCTCATGGCTGGCTGATCAATCTCAGGTAAACGCAACATGTGGTACATTTCTCTCACGTCTGCCGCTAACGCTATTCTTCCTTCAGTTCGCAAAATCTAAGCAAAACACCAAACAACGACGACAAGTAGTCTGGTCCTCTGTACATTTTATCATTTAGCCTTTGACACCTGAATTTCGCTGATGCATCATACACTCTCCTGAGACGATCAGGTTTCTTGGGAGTGACGAAACGGAGCGGTAACTACCAATTCACTTTGCTGTCAGCGATACTTTCTCTTTATTTAGTTTTCTCACGTAACCCTTCTCAATGTCATCCTGGATTGACTTCGGGATTATTTTTAAACTTCTTCTCTAACGACTCAAGCCTTCGCGCAGCCATATCATAGTTATAAGGAAGCGATGGGTCTTCTTCGCGCCAAAGCAGCCCTGACACATAAGCGTCTTCACTCTCCAATTTCTTAGTCGTCTGCTCCATTACTGCTAACGCGCGTCTGTCCTCAACTGAACTCACAGGTTCTGCTAGCCTCACCACACCTGATGGCTCTACTACCTCCGACTGAGCAGTAACAACCGCTGCAACTCCTCTTCTTCTCCTGCACTTGTTTCATACACTTTAAACGCATTGTACGGTGATGCCACTTTTTGTTCACCGGGTAACCAGTTAGTGACTGCCCAACCGAGAGGTGTCTTGCCTGCGTATGGTACTTTGTCAGCATGTGACTATCCTGAAGGTTTCACAATCTGCATTGGTAGAATCAAATCTGAGTTGTTGCTTCCTATTATCAGTCGCACTGGACCCGTGTCCGTGTCCTTCAAGTCCAAGTCTTTCAGGTGGCTAAAGTTCTGTTTAATTGCCGACCACTTTATCTTCTGATCCGGACCACGTAGGTTAGGAAACTTTTTCACATCTCTCAACGTACTTCACCCCTTCTCTTCCAACTCTAGCAATACGGCAGTTCTTTATGTGTCGCGAGGTCAACGCCTTCTCTGCATTAACACCTTAAGACCAAGTGACTGAACCAATTCTTCATTCCATAAGTGTTGTGTTACATCCTGAGTCACGTAACACCATAACTTGTTGCTCGCCTTTCTATGAGAACAGAACTACAGGCAGCACCTTAACCAACGCACGACTGCCAACCTCTCAGCCTAAACTCACCGAGTGATGAAACTGCTCCCACGATTTCTCTGACGGATTTAGAGGTTTGTTATCACCCTCCGGAGCAAAAGATTTCTGGGCTCCTTCACTAACTGCCAGTTGTTCTGCTTTTCTCGCTCTTGATCGTTCAATAATGTTCAAGTCAACCTCATGAACTAGAGTATGGTGACGCATGCAAAGCCCTCACCTTTGCATCCATTCTTAGTATTGCATTTGTTCAGCCGATGGCCTGGTAACAGAAAAGACAGGCAAAGTTTATGTTCCTCAACGAGTTTCTCTTTCTTAAGAGTGGGCAGTTCCTTAAACTTCTTACACTCCTGTAACTTATGACTTGTCGAGTTATGAACTGGACACTTCTTTGTCAATTTTTCATCACCTGAGAGAGCCTCTTGTGTTGTTCCCGCAAAAAGGCCTGGCCCCGGATTGCCAGCAGACCTACGTGAACCACTTTTAGGTAAATCACCCCTAGTCGAATCAAACCTTTTCCGTTCTGGCTTCTCCAGCATCCACCTCTGCTTTGACTCGTATATTTTCGCTTCTTTTTCTAGCCAATTCGCAAACGACTCCCAGGTAGACCGTTTCGATTTTCCTTCCACAGACTTAGCCCATCTACCGCAAAGACGAACAGGAACCTTAGCAACGTTTGCTTCAGATATCTGCGAATTTAATTCATGAACAAAGTTGTGTTCCCTATACACGCCCATTAACTCCGACACCATTTCTTGATAATGCCTCATCTGCTAACTATTTTCTTTCACTATGATTGGGAATTGATCTACACGCCTTTTAGCTGCGGACACAACAGTGTCCACGCGACCAATGCCCATGTCTTCTTATATTTATCAGAACCTGGCATGAATTTTACCAAACAGGACTTTGCACTTTCTTCCTGAACATCTAACAGAGATTTACGCTTCTCTGTAGCGTATTTAACCTCTTTTTTGTCAACTTCCACTTTAAGTGCTGTATTAAGCCTCGAGTACTCGAGTGGATCTTCGCTAAATTTTGGCGCACTTGGTTTGACAATTTTGGTGAACACTGAAAGCATTTTCTCAAAAAATTGATCTAGCTTGACTTGTGGCTCACCTGGGTTCACTGTGGCAGGCGGAGTGCGCATCGTATTTTCACCTCGAGGTTTTCTTGTCTCCAGTTTTACATTTGGCTTAATTTCTCTATTGTCATCGCCTTCTTCAACTTCTAGAACGGTTGAGGATTCTTAACCAACGCAACGTTTATCATCAACAGCAGTATGAGTGTTGGAAGCTGACTTCAGATGTAAACGTGAAGCACGATCCTCTACACCATCAACAGGCAATCCCTTCAAATCTTTATCGTCAATATCTCCATGATTAGAATCCTCAATAGCAAGATCATCTTTGTGAGCCACTTCTAATTTTGTTTCTTCGGTCTCTCTGTCCGTTTGAAACACTCATTTTGATTTAGACACAATTGCAAAATTACTTTCTACGTTCCCGCGTGTTGCTGTTGTTTGCTCTACACTGTTTCACAAGAATTTCACTCGGTGGTTGAATAACGAATAGTGAACTACCTGCTTTTATCTCCTGTTGACATCCTGATCTGCTGTAAACACACTGTTGCAGTAAAACAGAATTCGAAGGGCGTCAGTGATCAGAACCAGAAACAGGCAAACAAATGCGCTTTTTACCTCTTTTCCGCTCAAGTTTAATTGCCTAAAGACTGTTCAACATAAAAGCAACGTTTAAAAGGTTGAAAATCGGTTGAAAAATATACTTACATGGTCCTCACTACGCGAATCTCCTCGACTACTCTCCCGTAGCGTGCGACCAGACGACGGACCACGAGACCCATGTGCTAACGAGCATGCGCAGTAAATCTCGAACCAGGTCTCCGCCGTGTATTACTATAGTCTATAGTCCCAAGAGCCATGGTAGTCCACAGTGACCGTATCTTGTACTCCTTAATAGCTAACTGGAGGATACCAGGAAGGCTCTGTGATAATATAATCTAGATTGGGAACCTTTCAAATAATGGCAATTGAGCGAAAGCCAATTATAATATACCGCCTAGCCTTATGTAAACTTTCTTATAAAGAAAGAATTGAAAGTTGTTTATGTTGTTGTTGTTGTTCAAAATTAATGCCGTGCGTATTCGCTAAACGCTACTGTCAACTCCATTCGCAGGTGTGCACATTAACTGTTAAGTATAGTATGTCCCTACCCTGTGGTTGTCATGGTAACAATGGCCCACCATAAGCCTTCTTGCATTCCGTGCTTAAACGACTTTGGGAAGTGTCCGGAGTTTGTTTTGTGATCCTATAATGAATAAAAAACCTTAATCGTTATCTGGCTGAAAATTTTTAAGGTTTATATTTTGCGATGGATTGCTTCTACAGTAACACCCTCAGATGTTGCTATTAAATACGGTAAAGAATTACCTGAGTGCACAGTTTTTATGTTTTTTAATTTTCAGTTTCTTCGCCTTAACTGAGCAAAAAACCGTGGAACCCGTAAATTTAACAACATAAAGTGTTATATGACTAAATTTAGTACTTGCAAATTTATACGCTAAAAAGTTACTAATTAAGCGTTTTGTACAAATGAATAGATAAATAAACATGTAGTAAGGCCGAGTGATCGCTCTCCTCCGGCAATTAAATTGTATCCTTTTATTTAACTATTGAATAATATCATATTACTCTTGGTTTTTAAAAAGATCGAGAGGTATAAGAGTAGAAGAATTTTTTGCAAACATACCAAAAACCAAACAATTATTCCTGACAGGACAGCAACCAGAAGGCAAAAGGTAAGTAGTTTCCATGTCTGACTGAGAGCAGTTAAAACGTCTTTCGCTGTGTTTGAGGAAATTTGTTTCTTAACCAGAACGGGATGGGGAAGTTCTTTCAATGTCAAGTTGGGACAAGTACCGATCACAGGAAACGAAACATTTATCGCCCACTTGCAAGTGGCATTCTCTGTAAGTAGTGACACATTTTCGGCTTCAAGACCCTTAGTTATGTGACGGCAGATGCGCTCTTTCCAATTCTTTTCACCTTCAGGAAGAAAACTGAAATTGAATGTTTCCCAAG